ATATGGAAAGACAAATCGAGGTCTTCAAGCTGCATTAGAGCATGTTGACATAAGAAATTCAGTTTTTCACTCTGTTAGTATATATATACACAGTAAAAATACACACATACACAAATATGCATTTTTTTATGGAGAGGTGTCAGAGGGAAGTTTTGCAGTGCCAGGAATCATTTAGGGGATCAGTGCTTTGCTCAAGGACATAGCTAGAAGATACAATACTCTTTCTCTTGAGGTATTTCAGGTAGCTCACACATTGCTTTAAATAAAATATAAATACATTTAGAGCAGCAAATATAACAGTCCAGCTCAATGGAGGAGGTCAGCGGGTATGGGAGAAGCGAAAGAGAAGGTCAAATCTAAGGTCATCTGTAATTAAATTCCTGTAACAGTGTGACCGGTTTCCCTTCACTGAGGTAACGACATGTAAACTCATTACTGCCTTTCTCTGTTTAGCAAGAACATATGACACCAGACTGATTATTCATGATCACGGTGCTTTCGAGAAAATAACAGCATCCGACCTACTATCACCTTTTGGTTGTAAATAAAGAAAACTCTTCTCAGCGAGAATACGTAATGTCACTGCAGCAGTTAGTAGGTTGCTAATTCTTAACGCTCTGATAGAGTTACTGAAGACCCGGGGCAGACTTTAACAGGGGATGACATTTTCAGATCACTCTCCTGAATTTAAAAAAAAAGGGGGAAAAGAAAAACATGCCCGAGACAATCTTTAACACAGATTGCTTCCCCACATAACGCCATAAATAATGCAATCTCAAAATACATGTTTAGGATTCATCAGAGGAGATGAAAACAAACCATGAGAGAAACCGGCTCCTCGCCTTGAAGTTTTGAGTATTAGGGATCAACCTTTCCCACTAGCAAAACTATGATAGACCTAAGCCCAGAAAAACACAAATGCCATGAAGATGTTGCATATAAAATGTCTAGAATTGCCTTTTTTTTATTGTGTAGTTATATTGTCCCAAATGACTGCATGTAATGGGAATATATTGTAATCGTGCTCTTATAAATGTACTTTTATAAATCCAGATCTTTTCAATACACTTCCGATCTTATTTATTAGAGCTATATCTTTTTACTGGATGAAGGATTTCAGTCATTGTCTTGATTTTATCAGAGAAACAAGTTGAGAAAACGTTAGTGGCAGCTCAGAACGTCTGCCAAACTGTGTCAGAAAAACACTGAATTTTAACCTCTATCGGTTCTATTGGTTAAAATAACTTGGTTTGTTCTAGAGATAAAGAGACATCTGAGGGTAATTTAACTTCCTTAACATTAAACAATAAAGTAATTCTAACGGGTAATCTGATTGAAATGATGGCAATGGTGGCAAAGACAACAACTCCCACAATCCTGCGCTTGTCACAATGTCATCAAACTATCTTTTGTTTTGATATAGAGACCCCTAAGAGGAGAATATGACATACTGTGCATACTTGTATTCCAAAGGGATACCAGAGTTACTAGAAGTACTGGAGCTTAGCAAAGGAAGTAGAGAAGCCTCGTGTTATCTAAAAGCCATGGATAAACCCTTCAAATTGTCAGCAAAAGTGGCTATTTACAGTGCTGAAATTATTGGATAAATGATTTAAATGTTAGCTATGTTTGTAATAAACCGTTGAAAAGGTAATGTTGAATTAAAGAGCTAAAGTATAAATAGTCTAACTAGTTACTTCAGTATAAATAGCTGAATAAGAAAGCTGAAGTTGAGGATGGGTCAAATGCCCATTATCTGCACAAATGCAAACTTGACCAAACCAGCCTAACCATTAAAAGAATGGTGTAACATTACTCTTTAATAAAATAAAAATACTAAAAAATAGTTAAATTAGTTAAATGACACAAACAAATTCAAATCAAACATGTAAAACACGGTTGTTGTGAATAAAGGGGTCATTTTAGTTCATCTGTAAGCTACATAAGATGATCAAGTTAAACAGCCTTTCCATTATCTGATACGAGAGACTGTGCCACTGTCCTCTTAAGGATAAATAAAAGGACATTAAAATTGGATGATGTTTTGAGATTTAATCTGTATTCTCCAAATCATAGCTGGAGGGAGATTGTGGAAAATGTATAACATAAAACATGACCAGGAGGCATGTAGATGGAGAGAGGCAGTGACAATGGAACATCCTTGTAATCCTTTTAGTCTATTTCACAATTAAAGCTCACTACAGTGTGAAGCCCCAAGAAACACAGCGTCCTTCGACCAAAACTAGTCACAAAGAGCAACACATGATATTAGCCATTATTAAACCCTCTGTCTGGAAAAATATGCCTATTTTCTTTACATTATTCAGATGTTTTGCAGCGGTCTTTGAGATCAAAAGACATGCAATCCTATCATCACATCAAATTGAATGCCTGAAGAAAAAGTGGATACTGTGCTAGGCTTTTGGATTCTAAGGGAAATTATCTTTCCGCGTAGGTACTGTAGGATAACAGTCCATGGAAATGACTTGGAGCTATTTTAAATAAATGCCGGATGATAACAGTGAAACGTCCTGCCAAATCACAACATGGAATTCGTTTCAGAGGAAAATCTCTGTGAGGCAGGATATCGCATGCCCATTTGGAAAGGAAAGATATTTCACCTTCTTCCCCTTTAAAAAACAAACAAAATAAACCATTTAAAGCTTCCGGAGACCTTCAAATCCATTCTGAAATGAGCCATGAACACCAAGATTTACTAAGCTTTTATGATCAAAGATGAAAGAAATACAAAACCAGGCTGGAGACAGAGAAATGCTTTTGATGTCCAATCCCAAAATGATTACCTTTTTTATGAAGGGCATTTCTGTGCATGTGATTGAGTGCTTCTTCAAAATGAACATAAAGTCAACGTCGGACAAAAACTCACAAGTACAATTTAAGAATATATGTGTATCCAATGTCAACATGGGACATCTACATATGTTGTAGTATGATGAAAATCTGAGCACAATTGCTTTGAATATAGGCAGCCAAGTTTACAAACACATAAACAAACTTTAATAGGTGTTAACACCTGTCAATCACATTAAGAGTGCTCACATCATGTCTTTTTTATACTTTATGGTTTAAATTTGGATTTCAAATATATGCTACTATTTCTGTCACATCCAGATAAAAAGCATTACTCCGCCCTACAATAACATCCCAAAATTATCCCACACTGTGTTGCTTCGTCCCGGGGCTTTCGTAAAAACAGTCTCGGGGCTTAAGACGCACACCGTGTAATTGTAACCATAATTACTGGCGACATCCAGAGTTCAAATCCGGCTCAACACCTCAGTCTGCCATCACACGTCAGTCTCTACCCACACGAACTATAGAGGCAGAAAATACCTAAAATGTTCGCTTTTTCTCCAAAAATGTTGACTTTGTGGGGGAAACTTGCAGAGAATGATCGGGCAGGCTCCCCTCATCTTGGCTCCATAAAACAAGCGCACAGGGGCGCACACTTAGATAAATCAGTGTCGGTACTCGTACTTCATTTGGTCCGCACTTAGTGGATAGACAAACTGTGTGTCTTGATCACACCGGCTGTAGTTATTCTGAAGCTCATCCGGCAAACACCATCCATCACACGGATGCTGCCACCAAACTGTGACCGGGACGATGCACACAGTATCCGAACTACAGCCAATGTGTGCCTCAACATGCACAGGAGTGAGCCAAAGGTGGTTAAAGAAGCACATTGTTACACTCCATTCCCTGATGGTGAGGGTAACCGGCTCCTATCTAAACATATTTCATGCGGTAAAACACTCACATAAATGAACAATGTTACCTTTCTCTCCCCGGGGCGAGGATTTGGCTCGGGTCGGACTGGCTCAGCTCAGTTGGATGTGCTGGAGCAGAGGCTGAAATAAGCTACTCCCGTGGATGCAGGCACTGGAGAAAGTGAGGAGAGCAGCGGCAGCAGCGCGGTACCGGCGGCTGTCTGACATCAGCGGGCTGCTCACTCACACATACATGAGTGCTCATCCGCCACCATCAGAGGGGATCATTTGAATCTCAATACATAATCTTCACCCCACAAAGAAAGGGTCGGGATGAAATACTATCCGGAAAACTTCCGAGGCTCCGGTGCGTTATGAGCGCTGCAGGAGGGAGGCTCTGAAGTCACTGCTCAGGGGAGGGAGGGCATCCAAAAAAAAATAATGTGGGGATGAGATTCAGTTCAGGGTTGAGAGCACATTTTGAAACACGTTTTTTTTTTTTACACCTCTGGAAACTTCAAGCCTATAAGGATAAATTAACCTTGAGTGTATTCTTTGGGCATGTTCTTACTGTTGTTATGAAGCATACAGACATAATAAATATTAACCCTTTCTAGTGTGGAGGATTTCTGTAAGATTATAAACAAGGACATAATTTAACGTACCCTTTTGACAGGTTTGCTAAGTGTACAGCTGAAATCATGAATGAGTGACAGAAAACTCATCAATGTTGATCATGGGTTTATTCGGTTAAATCAAGTAAAAAAAGGCTTAATATTTGCTGGCTTAACTTTTTCAAATGTTACATGATTTAAAATGGAATCATCTGAAATAGATTGAAGGTGGGTTGCTTGAATGAAACCAACATTTAAATATGTAACTATGGGCTCTTTAAAAAATATATTAAATGTCACTTTCTTACATAACATAAACACATCAATTAATCAAAACTAATAGTTAGTGGATTAACGGAGATATTGGTTGGTTGCAGACCTTTAGTGACTTTTGTTTTTTATTGTTGCCACAATGCAAATCACTTTGTGTATCTGGCAAACTGATTTCAATCAGAGTTATCGCAAGTAGCCAAGGAACCTTTAACCATCCAGGTGGGTTCCTTAATTAAAACAAAATGCTGTTTCCAGGTGGCAGCGCGTCTGACCGAAAAATACATAAGTAAACTTACCTATGTTACACACACTCAAGCAACTGATGCCTTTCAAAAGAGCAACAATTTAGGTTTTACATGAGGACACAAGACCAAGACATTTGTTAACTGTGACATGCTGCAGTGTAATGTTAAGAGACAACAGATTTTATTAGCTTCTAAAGTAAAAGTCTTGGACTGTTTTATTTTCAACAAGGTGCAAGAGAGTCAGGTTTAGCATACGACAAGCTGTACAAGAATAAAATACAAAAAAGCAAGCTAAAAAAAAAAATCATCCTTTGCTGGTTAAAGATCCGTGCCGACATTGAAGAAGAATGACTGTTTGTAACACGAAGAAAGAAAATGGAAAAATAATAATTTAAAGTTGTGTTACTCTTTAGCATCTTGTCTGCATGTAGATACATCAGTTGTCTATTTTCAGCAAGTGCGGATATTAATATTACCAATGATCCCCTTTCAGGTTATTTCATTTTCAACAAACATACCACCTTCCATGTTTAATGTGTATACACTGACTTCAAACCTAATCATCTGGCTAATGGGCGGCAGGGCTTTGTAGTCTATTATTGTCAACTGGACAGCATCGTCATTAAAATAACAAAACAAACACAGATACATATATGTACATAAACACTTTGCCAGAAGTAGCTCGCTTGAAGAGAAGATTAAGTATTTACAAGTCTTTTAAAAAAATATGGGTGAGTTGCGAGTGGTTGTTCTTCCTCTCCTTTGAGTTGAGCATCTTCCTCTGTTATGTGGACAGGCTGTCGCCCTGCTGCCCGTTGCCCTGCCTTGCCCTGATGTTGCTCTGAACAAAGAGTGCAAGGCCGTCATAACCCTGGCTGAACAAATACTCCAGGTACCAGCTCCATGGCTTGGAATGCTGAAACAGAGAAAGACACAGTCACAACCGAGACATCTGATGCTTTCTATGATCAAAGCAACCTCTGTTAACCTGTTAAGCCCTGAGCCTGTTTTTCAGGTTTCAGGCTTGAAAATGACATGCCCAGAACAAATGACCATATCTTCACTTCTAAAAAGGGGTAAATTAATCATCTTTTTTCTCAAAGCAATGATAAACCTGTGAGTTGGATGTAGAAGAGTCAGAATCAATATAGACCTTTTTATTTTAAAGTAAATTCAGATTGAAGATAGTAAAAAAATGTAAATGATAGTTTCCGTCCAAAAGAAAAACATTACTTCTAGTGAAAACCACCCGAATGATGGGATAGTAGACTAAAAGCTTTAGGAATCCAAACTATAACATATAATAAGTACCCTGTATCAAGATTGATGCAACACAAGTTAAATTTGACCTTTTTAGAGAGATTTAGAAGAAAAAAAACACTTCTGGGGCCATTTGGGTGAATTTTCCATATCTCTGGAACCCATCGGTCGATTTTGGTGATTGACACCTCTTTTTAACCGTTAGAGCCAATAGAATTGAGGGGGGGTTCCTAAATCCATCTAAAGTTTACATTACCATTGGTGAATGAGAGTGATGCGCAGCCAGCACGCCCAAAACCGGAAGCTGGGTTATAGCTCTCATACACTCTATATGAAAACTCAGTTTATTGACATACATATGATGATGGAATATCAGTAATCATTTCAAAGTGACACAGAGACATTGGATTAACCTTCAGCAGCGTTTTAATGCCCTTGAACACAACTTTTGATCAGAAAACAGCAAAGGTAAGACGTATTTGCCGTTTTGGCTCCGTAAAGTGAAGTTGTGTGTTGTCTTTAATGGCTTTCGCTGCCGCGGGTTTTGGTCGCACAGTGATGATACGTATACCAGTGGACTCTGTGGAATCTCAGCTTTCATATCATATCTAGTTTGTGAAGATCCGATGAAGTATAAAATATTTCTACCGTGAGTTATGTGCTAAGTGCGTTAGCACTCTTTCGCTTAATGCTAAATCAGAGGCTTGGCGTTAGACTTGTGTTTTGTTTCGGTAAAAATGGTTCATATCGTCAGGTAGCTGAGTTTCTTCCCGTTAAGTGGGTATGACACATTCATAGTTTGTTCAATGTTAAGAAGCCCTCAGACGCTGTTTCTTCCAAGATGTTGCACGGGGGCTCCCGGGCTTAACAGGTTAATGTCTAACATGAATGATGCAGAGATGAAGAGAAGACCACTCAAACCTTTATGGAATCGAGGTCGATGTCCTTTTTCCCGGGCCAACACTGAAAAAGAGAGAACATTATTATTCATTGTCAGCTCATCCTGTTAGATCTCAATATCGCTGCTGGATGTTGCAGCTGGACCAAACCAAAAAATGGTATGTTTATTATTAAACATGATGAAAACCACGTCTCATGCAGATCCCATTAATAATAAAATGTCCTTCTGTATTAATGCATCTTCTATGAAAGATACATTAATACTACATTTGTCTCCTTGTCTTACGTGCAAGTCCATTAACCAAACTGTACAGACGGGCTTGCTCGCTGATTTATCAACTGCCTCTTACCGTTTGAAAATAAGCAAGAGCTACATACATACACCACTAAATGTCTTCTACTGTATGTGTCATACAGTAGAAGACATTTAGTGGTGTGCAGTACACGGGATCTTGCTCAAATACATTTGAACCCCCGTCTAGACCAAAATCGATCAGGAGCCATTCACACTTAACATGTCTCACACAACAGGTCAGCGCTCATGCACTAGTCAACCCGAGTGTTATCCCATAAAACACTAGAACTTTACTACAGATTATAACATTTTATCATTTTTTTAATCCTTTCAATTAATAGCCTTATCATTTTTATCCTTATTTTCTTATGATGTGAATATCTTGTCCAATGTAATAACATGTTTTACCCTATCTTTCTATCTATCTGTTCATTTTTTGATTCTGTAATGATAATCCTTATTTTATTCCTTACATACATTTTCTAAATGTTTTGAAAAGTGGTATACAAATGCAATTTTCTTTAAAGTATTTTGTTAACCTTTTGGTTCAGTGAGAAATGATGAATGACTTGTGGGTCAATGATGATGGAAATATAGCTCAAGAGTTTTCACAAAAACTAAAGGAAAAATGAATAGAAAGTTTGGTTTGTTCTCTCTTTAAAACTAAAAAAGACGGAACAGGCTCATCGCTTCAGTGTCGCGTGAACTCTGTCGTTATGCAAGTGCTATGCTGACGTGCACTTGCGATCTGGACTAGTGGAAAGACACAGGAACTCCCAAACGGCCCACACTCACCTTCTGGTGGAAGTCGATTGCGTAGCTCATGAAGGCGGGGTGGTGGACGAGGTCGAAGCTCGTCCAGTATTGCGGAACGTTGCTCTTGAGCAGCAGCTCCTCTCCCAGCTGTACACCCATGCCTGGTTGGAACATTTTGGAGTTCCACAGGCAGTTGACCATGTAGACTGTGTAGTTGTTGAACTCATGGAAAGTCTGACGGCTGATATGAAAGGCTTGCTGAAAGAAACAGAATTGAAAAGGGAGTCACAAAATTATAAGAAAGAAGCAAAGGAAAGTGGAGAAAAAAAAGGAAACCAATCTCCATATCTGCAAGGTTTCACTTCTGATGTGTGTTGTGCTGATTCATTTGCATGCTATTTACCAAGTCCATTTTGTCCTAATAAAAAGTGCCTCATTTCCCATTTCCACAGGGAGCATGCTTGGCTGCCTGACATGTACTTGTAAATTCTCTGCCCGCAGTGGCAGATGTTTTAAAATCAACAACTTCTTAAGTCCTCATCTGGCAGGGTATTAAAAGGTACGCGCTGAAGGTGGAGGCATGTGAATGTAGACTGAGGGATGGAAAAATCTATAAAAGCAAATAGCATGTCACTTCTGAAAGGCACACCAGCTAAATGCCTCAAATGTAAATGCATTCTAGGGATTTTGCATGATTTGGGGAAATAATGGAATTGCGATTTTTCTGACAGATATTGCGATTGCGATTCAATTTGCGATAGATATAGATATAGATATATATATATATAATCTAAAAAGGACATCCACAGGAGTGTTTCCATAGAGAAAATACACACAGAGAAACAGAGACACACATATCATAATATTATGGTGGTGCGTTCACTGGTCGTAGGATATAGAAGCAGTTTCTTTTCCCTGTAGGATTTAATAAACAGAACTCTGCAGGACGCCTCGCAGACAGTAAGTAATCCATTAGAAACTTAAAGAGCGTGACGAGCCTTTAGAAACGAACCAGGCGAGCAATAAATACAGCGTGTGGACCAGGACAAAGTGCAACAGAAACACATAAAAATACCTTTACATGCATTAAAACAAGTAGTGCGTTATGGAATTGGTTATCTCACGGTGCCTTCGTGAACCCTTTTCATACGGCGTAACAGCCGCAAACGACTAACGTTAGACTGGGCTACGGGACCTTCACTTAACACATGTGGTGCTTTTTCAAGCGCCGATACAGGTTAGTGGTGTTTTCTCGGGATGTAGCGACAGGTCGTGCTCAACACCTGCTTTTGTTGCACATCTGTCGTCCTAAACCCAAAATATTTCCATACAACCGAAGTGCTGCTTTTCTTCGGGACTAAATTGTCCCAACGTTGCTTCTGGCTCGGCTGAAGCCATTTATCCACACCATGAATGTTGCTAGAAACGTCTTCACACATGGGCGTTTCACGTGCAGTGTTGTTGTTGGGCGTATGTGTAGTTACCTTGGGCCACTTCTGATTGGTTAACAATGGCTGGTACATGTGGAGCACAGCACTTCTGATTGGTGTGGATGACTGACCCACAAGAAAAACATTGAATCCGACGCGCTGTATAACGTGTATCCCAAATCGCAGGCTTTGCGATTTGCATCATTTCAAATTCCGATATGAAATCGATTAATCGCGCAGCCCTAATGCATTCACAAGAAATGCATTCAAAATCCATAGGTTGAGATAGCAGTTTGCTAATAGAAAATCTGTTCCCTTCACACTGCTTGGTGCACTGGACCAAACTTTACTCTTGCAGTACCCCTGCAATGCAAACCACATCATGTTTCATTTTCAGACATGCATTGCAAGAAGATAGGCGGGTTTTCTTACATCTGTGAGTTTTTCTTGAATCTTGGCTGATGTCAAGTTCACCTTGTACCTGAACAAAAAAAACAGAATCATGAAAAACCAGTGACCTCTGTGATTATTAATGCAACACAGTTTGTTCTCAATAGGCTGTCAAAATATAGAAAATACAATTATACTCCAATTTCACTTTGCCATGGCATTTTTTCGCTCAACTTTGACAGAATTACTGAAGCCGCCCTGGGGGGTAGTCAATTAACCAACACTGTAAGGATTTGTGTTATTAAAGCCTGAAGTTACAAATGGTGCTTGAGTTCTACATAAAAAGGGAGAAGAGGGCTTAAGTGCATTGCTTCTTAGACTCATAAATCATGCATGAAGATATACGTACAATTTATCCATTTGATTCCAGGTCTGTTCCATCATAAAACATGCATCAACATATGACATACTACATTAAGGGGGTTGCTAGTGTATGCATCGGGGCAAGTTGTAGCAGAAGTCTCTTTAGCATATGGAGTCAATCCCTGAAATGTTCAGGAACATTTGCTGCGAGGGGTCATGGTTGAATGGGAGAGGGAATTGATGTTTAGGGAAATCTGTACAACCAATTTCCAATCTCAAGGCCAAATAACCCTTCAGGGATAACACTGATACATCTGTGAGATTGCAGGAACAGGCTTCGAAGGGGTTATGACCGTTTGACAGTAGGGCTGTACCCCAATATTTGAATATCCGTTCTTGGAGTACTATTCGGGTTTCAATTTTGTTATTCACGAAACAAAAACGATTTGGATTTTATGGCAGTTGGCCATATGCTGCACAATCTATTCTAACCTTTTTATAGCATGTGTAACAAAACGAAAAATGTTCCTGTATGTGGTGAATGTCTGAATAGGGAGAATTATTAGGAGGTGCGTAAGAAGCTATCGTAGTAATGAACCGGGAACTGTCTGTGAAAGAGCCCCCACCTATACATGATGAAGGCCAGTCTGTCCACGCTAACCGGGTCAGTAGCAAACAGCGCTGGGTAAAAAACTCCAGGTGGGGGCATCACCACAAGGGGGAGCCCATACTTCAGAAACGTGTCACACACCTGGGGGAGGAGAGAAATATAGATTAAAACACACTTGGCATCCTTTTTCCAAATGATTGCTATGTTGGTGTTGCACATAAAAGCAGGAACTACAGTTTATTCCACTGCAACATCTCTGCCCCTTAAACAGATTCATGTGAAAACGGGCCTCTCGTGTCAAACTCTGCATATACATCTTTCTGGACAGTGAAACTCAAACATCCTAGTTTTAAAATGGTACCACTTAAGCCCAAACACCGGTTGCATTGTGGCTTTAAAAAAGGCACACCGCAGGTAAAAGCATCCGCATCTGTTCATGTACCATGGTATAGAAGTCGAGGATGAAGCTGAGGAGGAGAGAGTGGCATCCTTCTAGCTGCAGGCCACTAGAGGCAAGCCGACCCACAAAGTCAACTAGCCCCATCACTGAATCCTTGAACCCCGACAGAGTCATGTTGCTGTGACAGAGGGCAGAGCAGAGAGTCAGACACGCAATTTGAGCAGAATGAAGTGAAAGCTGGACTGGCAGTCAGCTGATTTACCCTTGGAACTCTACACTTACATTTAATCAGTGACTCAGGTCTCTGTGAGAACAGGAGAAAGCTCCCAACTCAAGTATTACAATACAAAGGACACACTGAATCAAGAGTGATGTTGGGAAAGTGTTCGGATATACACCATTAATTATTCCTACATCTAATCAGTGAGTCGTACTCTGTCAAAATACCAGAGGTGAGTTTGGAAATGGCAGTGAATAAAGAATAGATCCCTACACTTATTGGATCATTTGTTGTGGGATTAGACATTTGAGGACTCGATACTGATGCCCAGGTATTTAAACAGAACTGACACCAACTCAGCACCTTTGTTTGAAAGCTTGAAAATCATTAAACTGGTTATTAGTGCTGTTATTGTCTGAAAACAAATTTAAATGAAAGGATTTGGTGGATAAATGAGCTCAAACCCAAAAGAAAAAACATGTTAATACTTCTTTCTGCATATTTTGCTTTTGTTGCTAGTGTATGAGATTGCTCAAATAAAGATAGAAACTGTAAAGAACAGTGTAGAGTTTCAGTTGGGGCTGTGCAATTAATCATATTTTAATCTCGATTACGATTTTGGCTTGCAACGATTATGAAAACAACGTAATTTAAATAAAACGATTATTTTTTTAATTATTTTTATTGGTTTTTCAGTTTAATTATATTTAAAGTTCAGGGTAATCAACTGTTAAAAACACACTGTTCACATTAATTTTTTTCAATAAATGGATGTTTTCAAAGTAAATGGATAATCGTTTTTAATAATCGTGATATCAATTATTGACCAAAAATAATCGAGATTATGATTTTTGCCATAATCGAGCAGCCATAGTTTCAGTCATGATTTGATCTGGTAGAGTAGAAAATGTGACATAATGCTTGCCTAGACGAAAATGGGTACATAAACCTGAACACCTACAGAAAGGAGTGTTTTGCTTATATTACTTTTTTTATTTTATTGCATTTCCTCATCCCTAGTGGGGATGTAACAATTACACTAAACCACAGTAAATAAAACTAACTTCAATAGTTGTATAGCATCTGTGAGGACGGATTAGATGTGATAATGCATTTCTTGGCTCTCCAGTAAAGGCTAAACAAGCTATAACCCTAATGCTCTGAAGTAAATACACAAAGTGTTTTATGTCTATTACTTGTTTATGCTCGGGGCATAAACAAGAAGCGGGAAGTAGATATGAGACTCACATGGAGGTGTGGCTGTTGCGGCTGATGTCCAAGTCGTCTTCCAGAGCGTACACCGAGTGCCAGATCAGCCACTTCAACAGCATGTTGTTCAGACACTCGATCAGTCCACACTGCACACACATGGAGAGGAACAGCATTAAGCTTACAGTTGTTTTACCACAGGCTAATAAAGGACCCATCATGAAAAATGCAAGACAAACAGTATTGCATCTTCTCCATTTAATTTACAGGTTTAGATATTTCTAGCACAGTAGAAGGAGTATACACTTGTTGTGCCTCAGGGAGGAAAACCCACCTTGAAAAACACGGATGATGTGAAGAAGAGCTGCATGAGGGGCTTGAAGAGAAGCCGTTCAATTTCTGAAACAAGGAGACACAAGGTTACAGTTGTACCAGCTGCTATACCTCAATGCAATTCCTAAGAAATGGCACAAATATCATGGCCTTGCCAACGTAGAATCTTTTATTCAAGTGGAGGGCAATGCAGGATTGTGTGCGTTGACATTGATAGACACAAAAATAGTTCACCAACACTTCATTTTCACATAGCTAGGTAAGTATACTGGTCAAAAAGAAAATTACATCCACTGTTCTTCCATCACTGCAGGTTTCCATTATCCAACTTCCTTGCATTGAACACTAGTTCATGGACTCTGTATTCTAAACATAATTAGGGACAACAAAACAGTGTGGAAACCAGGCAATAATGTGAAGAAGATCACATGGAAAACTCACGAGAACTTGGAATAACCGGAATGTTGCTTAGTAGGCCGAGGATCTGTGGGCGGAGGAGAGAACCGTCCCAAACATTGAGAAATTTGTAGAGAAAAGCCTCGGAACTGGAAAACCCCTCCTGGTGGAAATGTGACGGTAAAACATTGTGAAATCATTGCTTGATGTTTTACAGTGCAGCGTCAGCTTCATGAGGGTGCAGGATAATGAATATTGAATGACAGGTGTGGGGTAACTATCAGGCCCTAAAATGTGAGACTCACCTGGAGAAAGTGTTGTGTGGACAGCAACTTGTTCAAAAACTGCAGAGATTCTTCTGAATTCTGGGAGGCTCCATCGCCACAGAACAACAATTCTAAACAAAGACAGCAAGATAAAGTGTTTTTAGTAGGGATGCTCCGATCGCCTATTTTGGGGCCGATCGCCGGAATCAGTATCGGCCGATCCGATCGAGTGGGCGGGGCCTATGGGGATCTTCCATTTAAAGTGATGTTTAAAACTTAGTTAATGGGGCTCATTCACTGGCGCTTCCACAAACAACAACCAACATAATTATTACATTCAAATGAAGTACATTATTCAAGTTTACATTCACTTTGGATAATAACACGGAGAAATGAGCGGAAGCGCTCTTTTCCTCTCTCTCTCTCCGCCTGTCAGTATCGTCTCATGCAGCTCACTGATCCAGTAATGAGTGACCCGACAGTGAAGAATTAATATATTTATAACTAGTTTAGCTAGTTCCAGAGGTAGATCAAATACCACTGTGTGTTAGGTCTAACCCTTAGTGTGTGTTTTGCTCCGCTCACCGGTCCGTCACAGCGGGTGGAGCTGCAGGATTTCTGCTTCACACACGTTGCATACCGCTATTTTATTGTCATTTTCGGACACCTTAAAATACTGCCAGACCGGTGAAGCCATTTTGGCGAGCTTGTTTTGCCGCGCACAGAGAACAGTGTCGTGTATTTTACGTCATGTGATCGGCTCTCACGATCGGCCTTTATATAGAGCACCGATCGATCGGCAGAGAGTGAATATCGGCCGATATCGATCGGAGCGTCCCTAGTTTTTAGTATGGAAAAAGACAAGGGGATTGAAAGAAAACAGCAGAGGAATACATACTTGACGTGCATTCACTTAGTAAAGCACCCAGTCTCCGTTTAAACTCTTTTAAACCCCTCTCTGACAGAATCCTTTTGTCATCTAGGTAATGCGTTTTGGTTCAACTCGAGGTTAGCTTGGCTTTGGACAAATCTTCCTGATAGAAGATGTCACAACAAGTCTGGTAGTTGCTCGCTAACCCCAACCCGCCCTCCCACATCCCCGCCCTCCCACATCCCCGCTCCCCCTTACCTTCGTGGAGAGCGTAGCCGAGCCAGAAGTTGAGGCGTAGCAGAGCAGACTCATCCTGAACACAGTCCAGGTACTGCAGGGCCAGACTGGAGCCCAGCAGAGAGCCCATCTGAGCGGGCAGCTGGTGGGGGGGGGAAGCAGGAAACATGCAATCAATTATAACTGAGAGTAGGCTGAATCATTTGGAAACATTTCTTACTCCATTTAGTTTTGATTGATTCTTTTTGCATTATTCTCATTTTCAGTGAGGAATATCTTAATATGAACATGGTGGGACTTTGCAAAGAAATCTCTAAAGTACTGCAATACTACATTCAGAATGGTGTTAATACAGATATTTCCCCTTACAAAATATTGTACCTCCTGTTTGCATTGCATTTGTCCAAGTTCTATATGGGTGAAATGCATTTTTCAGCCATTATTGTGAGGCTAGAATAATCAAAACATTAAAAACAAAAAAGATATGAAAAACATAAATCATATTACCTAAACACAATAACTATAAAACCAGCCATTGTATGAAAACAGAAACACATAAAATCTTGCTCAAGTCCCTGCTATCAGTTCTAAAATTAATCTGTTTACCTTCTTTAAAAAACACTCATGTCCTTGATTTTATTGAGTGGGCCACCTATAAGCTACTGAGCTAATTCTTCAGTATCCAGTAATCCCCATAATACCAGCACTACGACATTTCTGCCATCACACTGGATAGTTGATACAGTCTCTTATTGTGTATGAACAGCTGCCTCAAAATATGGGGGCCCTTATCTGTGTAGTAAATGAATATGAATGGGGAAAGGACAGACTGACGGGACACAGCTCAGCTATAACTATGCAGCAACAATGACATTAAACTAAGAAAGCACCATTCTGCTTTTGATAACAAGAGTGCAGGCAGAGAGGAGAATAATCAATGATCCTTTGTCACTGTCTTTGCTAAATAGTTTTACGTGTGTGATTGACTGTGCTTATCTCTCTTTTCTAATGTATGGGGAAAAGTAGAGCTTTCTTAGCGATAAACAAAGTTGATGCTATCACTGTACAAAAGCCTTATTGCTTATTGTTGGCTTTGTGGTCTGTGAAAGCGGTGGATTTATGTAGCATGACGCATAAAAGTCAGCGAGTCATTTCAAATGACTTATATTAGTTTATCAGGTCACTGAATCTGCAGGGCAAATAGACATTTAAAGAGGGCCATTTTTAAATGACCATTTGCTATGAAACTTTGTCCAATGCATTACTCAGATCCCAGTTATTTTGCTTTCATTACTATAGGAGAGATAAACCGTGCTATCTGCAAAAAGAACAATGGCCTGTTTAAAAAAATAAATAAAAAAGATAAGCGCTTTGTCTTTTAGGTTATAATCTGATAAACAAATGACAGCCCTAGGCAACCTCTGCTGTGGTTTCTCTAGGACAAAGATGCTGGTGGTATGCTCGAACAGTTATAACAGTAACACAGCACCACCCTCTGGCTGTGAGGATACATCACAATGTATAAATAGACTGGTTTCACATCCTAAGGACACACTGGCATACGTTGAATTCTGCTGCTTATCTTCTGAACTGTTCCCAGTCCAGAAGTTTTGGGACAGCGAAACCGTGTAAGCTGAGTTAGAAAGGAGCCGAAAGAGTGAAAGACTGAGAAGGAGCAAGACAATAAGGGGCAGAGGTGGAACCCAAAAGAAGCCAGAGATTCTTCGCAGCAGGAGTACCTCTATATGGTCCATATTTTCCAGGAGCTCAGCAACAGATTGGATCTGCACCAGAGGGACCAGCCTCCTTCTCGTCTCCGTCTGAGGTTCTTTATTTACTACAGATCTCAATACCGGTATTTCCAGGTGGTGGCGTTTCTAAAAAATAAAGCACAGTGAGACAAGGAAATAAATAAAGGCAAGCCTGGGATAAAATGATTGTCTTATTTACTAAAATGCATTAATAAAAAGCTTAAGTCAGGATAAGCAAATCAAATTATAAAGAAATGTATATCATACACTTTTTACTCAAATCTTATTGCTTTTCAAGCATTTAAAAAAGAGGAATTTTTTAAGCTTTTCAAAGCTGTGGTACATAACATATTTTGTATACAGTACATCAGTGGCGATCCGCCAGGGCCCTCTAAGATATTCTGCAAAATAATATTTAAAAACATTTTTTAAAGTCTGTGAAGACAGGAGCTGACTGGTGGTCCTGCTGTAAATTCACAGAGGGCCCGCTATAGTAACTGAACGAGAGAGTAATGTCAAATGACAGTACAATTGACCAATCATATCTTCCCTCTAAATGGGTGGGCTTTATTATCGCGGACTTTATGATAAGTTGCGCCCGCTGGGAAGTTTATGCATGTGTTATAACAAAGGGTCAAGATTTCCATAGCAACAACAACTTCAGCAGCGAAAACTCTCCTTCAAAATAAAAGCATGTCCATACAAAATAGGAAGCCAAGCCAAATTATACTAAAGACATATATACAACTGCAACGAAAGTAACAAACACAATGCAATATCCTTTTCAATTTCAAAGAACACAAATTGGGTTATTTACAAGTGTTGTTTTGTGTGGTAGAGGGTCGCTGTCATTGATGCGTTTTGCACATGGTTTTGCACCCCGGGCCGTTGTTTTGATATTCCGCTGAAGTATACACTGTGATGTAATAACTCTTTTTTTTTCTTTTTTCGAGGGAAGAGGGGGTCAGAAGGCCTAGGTATAAAAGTCACGGCTCGCCACTGCAGTACATACACTCAGGGGCAACGTTATTAGTTACAATCTAGTAAAATGTACTTTTGCTGATGTCTATAATCAGTTTTCAGTCCGAGGTGTTATTGATATGTTTAGCAATAGCATTAGGGTCGTAGTTAGTGCAATATGTATATTCTCTCCCCCTTAAATAAAGACATCTCAATATAAGTAAGTCAAGTCAGTAATAAACTGAATTTAAATGTAAAATGAAATGTAAATATTCCCAACAATTCCAACATATACTGAACATTATAAACTTTGAAGTGTAGAATGTATGGCATTGGGAAGCAGCAGCAGTAACTGTAGTGTAGCAGGAGTGATTGCATCTGACAATGTGGAAAGGCTCCCATACCCGTTTCCTGCGGTTGGTCCCATCTTTCGATGCAGAGGCCAGGCTGATGCTGGAGGCAACCTGGGAACCGTTCCTCTTCTGGACGGCAAACAAAGCTGATTTCCAGGGCATATTGTGGTTCTTAAACACACTCTGTAAGATAACAGAAAACATAGAGTTTCATTGGGGCTTTAGAGATGATGGCCGCAGACGTTATTATACGCACATAATGAGCATCACATGCTTGTTCCATGTACAAACCTTAGATTGCGATGGGATGGAGAACGTCACCAGTTCAGGGCAAAACACCTTGTAAAGGGACAGTAGGTTCAGCAGGAACGGCTGCCTTCCCTGAGGAAATGATATCAACACACTCAATATGGCACATCTTTGTTCTCGACATTTTTATATTTGATTGATGGTTCCTGATAATGTGGAATCGAACAATAACCAACTCTATTGAAAGGGTAAATGTTTGTACTGAGCAAAAGACAATTCCTGGGATTTCTTATTAACATAGTTTCCTACTTAGTTAGCTAATAAATATGTAGCTTTTTTATAAGTAGCTTTAGATGGCATTAGATCAGCAGAGTGTTTACCAGTTTAGACTGTAGCTCCAGTAGCTTCCTCACTCTGAAGACTCGCACTACAAGAGAAAAAAAAACATTATTTTTTACAATACAGTGAAACAGAAAAGAGGAAATAGCAGAGTACTTGTGAAACAATAGCAGTACAGACTTTTCAGGTGTGAACATGTGAGACTTACCAATTTGCTTTGAGGTCAAAAGGTACAGCAGATGGCAGATGAAAGGACACTGAAATAATGTGACAAAATATCAACTTTACATCTTGGAAGTTCTTCAGTGGAAACAATATCACATTACAGTGCTGCATTCATTTACTTACACTGGTAAGAAGACAGTAGTTCAGTTTTGAACAAACAGGACATTACATTCATCACAAATGATGATTGTAATGTCGGCCTTAGCCAGATAAACGCATTATCTGTCTAGTCAGGCAGAAATTAACCTTTATTTATCTCGCCAAGACTGTTTCCTGAACAAGGAAGAGTATTCATAAACAGTGACGCGCTTGTCATTTCAACATTTGTTTAAAAATCACCATGACAAATAAGATTAGTGAACCTAAATTCGGGGCTCAAAGATGTGTGTGCACTAGAGATGTTAAGATTCACCGATTCGCATCGGTGCACCGGCATAAACGTTCAAGATGCGAGTGCACCGGTTGAAAGAGTGCACATCGGCTACAGTTTGGGTTGAACCGGGTTGAACTCGCGATGCATCGATTGCGTAGCGTCTTTGCATCGGTAAAAAAACGATTCATTCATATAAAATCCCCTCATCTTGTCAACGCTCAGCAGAGACGATCTTTGATATTTGCTTTGCCACTACGGAGGCCGAGAGTCTCAGTTATCAACACACACGGAAGTTGAGGAGAAAGAGAAACACAGCGCACCGAAAAATACCTACAAATCAAACGTTTGGCAACACTTCGGATTGTTCAAGAAAGACGGTGTAATAGTCCTTTATGCTATATAGTTGACCGCAGGTCATGGAGAGTAATAAGGTATCCGTAGACCTTTGTATGAGGTATCTTTATTACTTAACAGGTCTACAGCCATGATACATAGATCCGTCCTAGATGCGGGCTTGCATACACACAGTATCACTCCGCAGCCGCACCCCATGTAGTAGAACCTTTATTTATCCAGGAAAATCAATTAAGAACAAATTCTTATTTACAATGATGACCTGACAGGAGGCAAAGGCTTCCTGAGGGGATGGGGTTTGGGAGGAAAAATAAATAAAAAGACAGACTCCGGGCACTACAGAACCCAGGAGACAACACAAACACATAGAGCAAAGATGACAGGCATAGCAGTTAAACATATAAAAACTCTAAAACAATATTGTAACGTCCTGATGGTATATGTGCGCGGCACTATATACTACAGACGGTCAACTTGAAAAATCGCTCGCAAATTGTAAACGATGCCGTGCCGCTTTAAAGTACACAAGTAGTACGAGGAACTTAGCGACGCACATAAAGAGGCGACATGGGGTCTGCGGCTGAAAAGAGAAACCTGAAAGTTAGACATGAGTTCAATCACTCAGTGAGGTGTTCTGTCAGAGAGAGTGGTGTTTAGTTTACAGCAGCCTGTGACGGCCAATAATAGTTTAAATGTCTTCCTTACTGTAAGCAGTTATGAAAGAGCTGTTTGTGAAAGGTTCTTTGTATTCTTTATTGTTCCCATAGAACCCACTGCTTTCTGCTCACTGGTGAGTTAGCCTATGAATGAGTGTTAAGCACATCAGGCTGGCAGCTGTATGGGCATTGCACTATGGTAGCTGTTATATTGTTAATCATGGGCAATGCATCCTTACATTGTTTAACTATGAGGTGTTATAACATTGTACTGTACTCTGGAGAGCTTTTAAAGGTAAAAAAATAAACGGCATGATGGGATGTGCAGTACCAAATATGTAAAGCACTTTTTTGTTAATGTATGATTTGCTGCATATGAGGAATAAAACAAAATCCTCTGTCGTACCATATTGAAATATCATTATTTTTGCATCGTGTTGAATCGCATCGTATCGCACCGAATCGCATAATGTTGAATCAAATCGTATCGAACTGTATCGCAACAGGGGTGAATCGTATCGTATCGTATCGCCTGGTGTTTCAAATGCATCGTTAATGTATCGTATCGTGGCAACGTATCGAGATGCGCATCGCATCGGCCTCAGTGATGGAGATGCACATCCCTAGTGTGCACGTGTACAATTTCCCTTTGGTGCCATCTGACTATAAAGAGCAAACATAATCATCACACATACCAGATTTTCCTCTGAGACGAAGCTGAAGATGAAGCCATAGATAGCTCGAAGCTGGTCTTTTGCATCAATCATGTCAAAGACGGTCAACACCCACTTTATGAAAAGAACCTGAAAGTTGTGAATGCAACGTAAACATACAAATGGGTTAACTGGGGTGCAACTCAAGAACAATACATACATTATTAACATACATTAAATGTAACTCTCTTATCTCAAATTATCATTTTCTTTTTAGCAGAACCTCTTTTTTCAATTGACAAAATTGTTATATTGTTAGAAAGACACACGAGAGCAATAGTTTTAAATCACATCCTTTTGATTAGAGATAGTTCATGGCATAACCTTAGTAGTTGTAAAATTGATGTTATTCTTTGAGGGTAAAGGTGTGTATGTTCGACCAACATACTTCTAAATTACTCATACAGCAAACTGGTGACAAGAATCTAGACAAATCCAATTGCACTTACTTGTGTGCTGACAGGTATTTTGCCAACTCCGAGCCAGGACACACCGCGAACAACAGCCTCCTGTGGCACCACGGTGACGGGTATAAGACACTTCAGCACCCGGGGACAAAGGCTATGTCCTACACAAATAAATTCACAGAAACAAGTCAGTTAAAAGAAGCACATCTTAATACTGACAGTAACACTTGTACACTAATCTCTTTTGCACAGGTGTACCTATACTTTTGGGAAGATCAAATTGTGTGCCATAACTTCAGGTTCTGGTTAACAATTGGTGTTTACAATAAACCTTATCTGCTGCAAAGTGAATGTCTTACCCATACGGAGGCTCATGGCAAACTCCAGCATAATAGAGATGGCCTCTGGTGAAAGTCCATTTCTGTAGGCCACCTGCTCCACCAGGACCAGGTTCCTCTCCACCTCATCGTTACCACTGACAGGAGTACCTGCTTCAACTACAGGATGGAGGAAAAACATCCCATCAGTGTGTGTAAGCATATTTAAAAATAATCACAACAGTTTCAAACATACAAGAGGTAATGTCAACAAGTATTTACCTGAGACAATCGGTTATTTTAATTGATTACTAGAACATTAAAACTGCTAGATATAACAGTTTAGCAGAGCTTAAAATCCATCACATAATATTTTGGAATGTTCTTAATTGACTGTTGAGCATTACATAAAACAGTCTGTAGTGTTGTCATCTAGAAAACAAATCCTGGAACTATTTTAACATTAATAATCACAGTGATATTTTTTTAGTGAAAAGGCAGGAAATATGTATTCCAATTATTCCCAAAAAAAAATGGAGCAAACTATCTGAAGGCCGTCTTGCACGAACAAATTGTGTAAGCCACTCTGGTACAATGTTATAGAAACAGGAGTCACAAATAGCATTGTGTTTTAATTTCTAGTTGTCTGTTTTTGGTTTTAATTTAATTAATTAATTCAAGAGTATAAGTAAGTATTAATAATTAAGATACTCCTCTGCATCATTTACACTGTGGATCTGAAGAATATTGTCAATATTCTTATCTCAAGATCTTAGTTGTAAATGGCAGTAACATTGTAGAGTGCAATAATAATAATTAGGTCAGATAAGTCTTATTTGGAAGCAAACCCCTAACAAAAGTCTGTGTCCCATATTAAGTATACAACAGATTACATCACCAAACACCGAGTTTCTCCTCTGCAATCAAGCTTTTAACAGTATTTTCAATAAGTACTCAGATCCTTTACAAGTACAAATAGTATGGTCTTAAAAACAATCCACTACAAGTAAAAGTCCTGATTTCAAAATTGTACTCGAGTAAAAGAACAAGGCAGCAGAGTATAAATATGCGTTAGCATAACATTGAAATATTCAAGTAAAGTACAAGTAGCCTCCCTTCTCCACTGATTTGGGAGCTAATAAGTAACTATGCAAGCAACATTAGCTTTCAGTAAAGTTACACCCAAAAAGCAACAAGAAAGTAACTTAGCCTAAAGTTATCCTGGACTATTTGTATGCATCGTACTAGAACTTAAACGGCAAGGGTTAACGTATTTATCTTGAGTAGATCGGTAACAATAAAAGCACCATCTCCTATCGTTGAGTTGAGTCCTACCGTTGTAGAAATACTGCAGGGCCAGAACAGACGGGTCCTCCGCCTCGTTCTTTCTCCTTTCCTTTTCTGCGACTCTCAAACTTCTGTTGCTGGTCCGGCTGGACATAGACTGGTCGGTTAGAGACGGTAGACCCGAATCCGGATGCCCTGACAAGTTTAACTGTGCTGCCATTTCTACATTGCTAAAATATTCAAAACACTCCGTCAAACACAGACACATTCAAACACATTCAAACCTTTACAATTCAAACACAACTCAAACTCCGCGCGACCGTTTGGTCTGCGCTTGCTCAGTAGGTTTTTGTATATCTTCGTTGTGTTTATTGGCAGTTGGCAAACCAACTTGTAGGTGCATTACCGCCACCAACTGGAGTGTGGACTATGCAGAACACAATAAAATAAAATAAAATAAAGAACCATGCCAATCTTTTTCAAGCGGGCAATGCCTTGGCATAGCTCTTGTATGCCCTTTTCTGAAAGGATAATGTACAAAGATACCGTTAAATATTGTAGATTTACAATTGTAATTGTAAACACATTTAAATATTTCACATCTTATCTCCTACTGTCTGTCATTGCATACGTTGCGCATTGCCCCCTCACTCAAATTCAGTTCATCTACAATAATGGGGCCCCCACTATTGTAGATGAACTGAATTTGATGAAGGCTTATGGCAATGTATGATGTCTGTTTAATTGTATTTTTTCTATAATTTGTTCTGAATTTTGCATTTAAAAAAAAACCCGCCACTGATGTCGTTTTAAAGATGTGTCGCCCCTCGGGGGCCCCCTACTGGTCTGGGGCCCCAAGCAGTTGCCTGCCATGCCTGTCGGCAAGCGGCGGCGATGTATACAAGGCAGGTGTGAACGCACCCTTGACTATGAAAAATACGCAACTAGAAAGACTACAAATCCCAGAATCCCGGTCCCGAATGCTGGCTCTTATGGAACCGACTAACTCCCCTTGTGTGTATGTACAGCTCTCAACATGCCCAGACTTTTAGTGATTTTCACCTCTTTTAATACTTTTCGCCACATTCTGAAAGAAAGAAGTGAAATGTGCCAACGTGACGGCCGTTTTGGTGTGCGGTGCGAGATGGGAGATGTAGTTCATTGAGCGGTTTCACCAAAAAAAAGTGTTACTTCACAGTTTTACGACACATTTTTATTTTTTTGACTTTCAAAATTATCTTTTAAATTGATAAACATCATAAACACATTCGTGGCACAATTCAAACGCGATCGAAAGATAATCGTTCTCTCTCCATTGACTTCAATACATACTTTTTCCGAAATAAGGTCCCATGGAGCTCCCCCGGAAGTTCTCTTTTGTGGTTCATCTGGGTTCATTTGGTGTCTCATGAGAGGAGGCTGAAAACTGGTCAGTATTCAACATTAAAGAACATTATAATTACGCTACGCACCGCTTCACAGAAATGTTTGATAGCCTGATCACATAGGCCTACCGCTTTTATCGAATACGTTTGTGACTTGGCGTAGGCGATTTAATGTGTTGTCATAAACTGAAATATGGCATTTAACATATTTAGCAGCAGCACTGCTGTGTAGAAACACTGTCCCAGGTAAATAACTCACGGGATCATCTTTGGCCCCCTCTCACCATCAGCACTTTTCATAGGTGAGGTGAATATGAACACTTTCCAAAATAATTGTTTTTGTAAATGTTGATTTTTCTTTGCTGTGCGAGCATCACAACGAACATATATAATGTATTGTCAAATATAAGTATTTCAAGATCATAACATCAAATAATTTCCTTGGTCTATGAAATATCAGAAATAAGTTCCCAGAGAACAGGCTAAAATAATCAAAATTATTGTTTAACAGTCCAAACCCCAAAATAATTATATTTACTATTTCAGAAAACAAACCAAAATAGTCAACAAATATTAACATTTGAGAACCCTGATCCAAATAATTTTCTGTCCATTGACTAACTAATCTTACCTGAAAACCAGGTCCAATTAATAAAAAAATTGTATCAAAGACATTCAGGGTACAATCTCTTATAAAATGTGCTCAGTGCTTCATTAAGTTTTATGTTTTTATGTTGCTAAAGCTGTTATGCAAATACCAGAGTGACTTTCCAGGCAAGAGGCATAACAGAAGGACCCCTGTGTCTCTTTGTCCCCTCATCCGGTCGGTCTACAGTGCATGGTCCTTTTATGCCCATGTAGGATTATAATTAAAGAAGTTTTCCTGTGTTGAAAATGGCACCGAATGTATCACATTTTCATCTCATTATTTTCTTTTTTCTTAGCTACATTAGTTTATACAAGTTAAGTTAAGATCATAAAAGTGAAAAACCTGTAATGCATTACATACAGTATAATAAGTAACACCTATGATATAGGACAGAGAGACAAGCACTGCACATCTGGCCCGTAAAACGGATGTAGCTTATGTGCTGATTTGATGGCTTTATCTTGACAGGGACAGACTTAAGGTACAGTATATAACATAACTTGACTAAAACAAATTCAAGGGAGTTAATAAAGCAAACACTATTTAGTAAATCTCACCTCCAATTCTTTATTTTAAGTATATCATTTACAGAAATATTGTGAATCTCGAAATTAACTGACAGGATTTTCCATTGAGATTTAATTCCTAAAGCAGATCTGTAATATGAATTTTTGAGTTTATATTTTTGAAACAGAAAAAGTATAGCCAAACTAATCAGAAGTTGTCTTTTAAAGAAACAGATAATATGCTTAAGACTTGAACTGTGAATTACAAAAAAGGTAAAATTACATTTTTAACAGGCAACAATACTTTTTTGATTGAGTTATGTTTTGCTGTGCACGCTAGCAGAAGACACCCTAGCTAGCAAATGCTGTACTTTCCAGCTAAACAACTTTACTGTGGTAACTGAACTGAAAGGACAAAAATAATATTCTGCCATTTTCACTTTAGGAGAAAGGGTGACATGCGCACTTCTACAAAAATGTACTGAGATGAGATGAACAAGGCTGTATTCATTTTTTCTTTCCAGAATTGTGTTCTGGTAACACTACACCAAAATATGATGTGGATATGTCGTACTAGTTGATGTATAATCAGTACAAAATTGTTTCAAAAGTGCTCATATTGGTTAATGTTTATACTCTTGACCAAATGAAACATGCTTTAGACATTATTGAAATTCATAAATGATTAGTCTCTCCTACCTACAGTAAAAAAAGAAGCTACAAAGATTCTTACATGGAAAAACAGCATTCTCAAATCATTTTGACATAACATAAATGAAATCATTTAAAAACAAAATACATTTAACACAGTGTAGGACTGAAATAAATAGAGGAAATTGATTCACTATTTAGACAATGAGCTGATCTCATGAGAGTTTCCACAGGTATGATTGTCCACGGTCATGTTGAGGATTAACGGATCAGGAGTTCTCAGTTTCACAGTGAGAGTGCAGAGGAGTAGGTGAGAGTTATCAGTCCGCCAGCTGGATGGGACAGGAGATGATGTGAGGGGATTTATTAGTGGAAGTGACTGATTCCTTCAACATTTTAATGACTCTCCATCAAACAATAGGGACGCACCAAATTCCCTTTTATTGTGGATTTGACGAAGTAGAAGAGCATCTTAAGACTGCTTGACCTTGTTCTTTTCCTGGTCATTTATTTGCTGTTCCTCTCGGCTGTCCTCTCTCTCTGGTCGGTCGTCACTTTGGCGGGCAATAAGAAGTCGGCAGGTGAGCAGAATACCAAAGACTAGAGCGTGGGCGTACCGTTTCAGGGGGTCTCCTACTAGCTGGTGGAAGAACAGGACAGCGAGCATGACCAGCAGCAGCAGGAAGTTGGCCACATCCTTTGGACGGCCCGGTACGAGGGTAAGCACCACACCACAGCCCACCTCCAGAGAGCCAATGATCTTACGAAGCAGGACCGAGCTGATGCCAATCTTTTTCAAGCCGGGCAATGCCTTGGCATAGCTCTTGTATGCCCTTTTCTGAAAGGATAATGTACAAAGATACCGTTAAATATCTCTAACATTACACAAAGGTCATACAAATGCACAGGGACTTCTTTTAGTGAGGCTATTTAAAATGATGGTTGCACGATTACTATTTGACCTATTTCTACCCAGTTAAAGAAAACCAATAAACACATGAATTCAAACTTATCGTATGAGCGTATGAGTTTTGATTTAGCATGAAACCTAATGCATGACAGCTAGCATCTTGCACACAGGCTATTTCAACATCAGCACCAGTGGGTGCCTCTCACAGAATTTGCTAGAAATCAGCCGCCATTGCTCTTTAGCTGTTGCTCTTCATATAAAGCGAGAAGCTCAGCAGCAACAACCTACTACGCTATAAAGATCAAGGTATACTTTAGAAATGTGTTGATTTTCCTGTATACATGTTTGCACCGTGCAATATCATTATATCATGAATTAATACGGTGGAGTCTATCGTCCATTATTGATCCCTGTTTTACCGTTTACTATCTTATGATAGACACACTTGCTATTGTTTTATTTACCCACACCGATTCAAGGATGCTGTCTGTTTCATTACCAACATACATGAAGGGTTTTCTAGAACACAGAGGCCTAATATAGCCAATGTGCTAACTGTGTTACTGACGTTAAAGACAATACTGTTTCAGCAGGTCTGAACATTTTAAATACAGGATGATCTTTGGGAAAATTTAACAATGGTCACATTGTCAGAACATAGTCAGATTAGAAGAGCCCACCAATACCGAAAAGATTAACTGTCCGTATCTTTGATTATTTAGGTCAGCATCTCCTCACATTATTTGAGCCTGAGAGCGTTTCGCACAGAACAATAGCCTGAACCCCCACACATCACTGTTTACTCACCATTTCACTGTATGCATCTTTGCTTAGCCTCGGAGTGAGCTTAATGGTTCCCATGAAGACGAAAAATAAACCTAAAGCAAAAGAAAGGGCCACAATAGTAACTGTCCTTGGTGAGGCCATCTTTGCCCACCGTTAGTGCAGCAGGCGCTTCCCACAGTGAAATGAATGATAGTCCGTTTCCCGGTGAAGATGCACCAGGGGGATGGGCTTCTCTGGCTGAATGACAAAGATGGCGTCGCGCTGGTCCCCTTTCTCTGCGTCGCATACAGGAGCAGGAGAGAACTGACGGGAGCTTGTACAGAGTGATGATAAATAACCAAGTGCAATTACTCTAGTACAATGTTGAGGTACTTGTACTTCATATCTACCATCCAGACATAAGAGTGTATCTCATCTTGTTCTTGGTTCGCCAAAAATAATGTTAAATATCTCTTGTGCACTCTTGTTTCCATTCAGTAGGCTATGACAAGGAAACATGTTAGTATGCCTATAAGGCTGACAGCTTTAATTTAGAGCATTGCAAAACGCTTATTTGGATACAGTAAATGTCTACCTTGTGAAATATATGCTATATTATCAACACCTCATGATTTTAATCTCATAAATGATTTGGTATTCAAGTTTTTATACCAAATAGCCCTACTTGATTGTGCTCCATAGTTTCTGAGGTATAGGCTACAGCCATTTTCTTTTCATACCACATTTAGGCCCATGCTGATGCTTTGATGGTTTAATAATGTTAGCACAATAGATATGCCACACAGTAGACATTATTATTTTCAAGAATATCCCATACACTGCCCAATCATTTCTAGAAAGTGTTCAATACCCATAAAAAATATATTCCACTAACAATGACAATTTATAAATGTATAGGCTACAAACAAAACATCCATTAACATTTTGGCCAGGTACTCAATTTCATTTTTAAATTGAAAACATTTATACATTGTTCTTTCAGTTTTTATCTTACATTTTTTCATTTTATTTTATTTATTAGGGCCTGAGCACGGAGCGCTAGGACCCAACGGCGTCCTAGCACGAAGTGCGAGAAACCTATTGTTATTGGTGGAATTATTATTTTTCTGCTGGCGTTTCCTGTTTTTGAGGCCTTTAGGACGCTGACAAAGTTGTATAATTTTGCACGGACGCCAGGACTGGTGAAAAATACAATATTCTGGAGTCAATGGGTTAAATATTCCAACGTGCTCGCTAGCGCCACCTATGAAAAACCCATTTCGGAATAAATGTACAAAGTCGCACAGTAACTCCAAATGACCTGCATTTTGCACACATATCCGGGTGGACCTGCTCTACAAGTAATCATCTTGGAACCCTAAGCTCCGCCTATATTTTTATATTTTTAATTTAAATTAGCATAATGTTCAAAACAGTTAAATATTCACTTAAATTTCAATTTTCAGTTTTTCAACACCAAACTTCGTATACAGCATCGGTGGAGGGTCAGACACATTACCCTCGGAGATGAGTATGTTCAAACGATAAATATTTCCGCCATGAATTAAAAGGTACTCGCAAAAAGGCGGGGCTTAGAAAGAAATGCTCATAACTCATCAATAATATATCCAAACATCACAGATTTTGATAAATAGGTTCAGTCTGTCTTGAGGAATAGGCTTACCAAATAATTTTCATTTAGGAATATAGGGGGCGCCAAAAACACCACCAATTTATAACTCAAGAGCGGATGGACGAATTATTATTTATTTTTTTACACATACTCTCGGGGTGACTACGAACTCAGAATTAAAGTGTCGCAATAAATGCAGAATGTGGGCGTGGCCTATACATTTTTTTTAAATGAGCTTCGGACGCAAAACTTGGGACACACGTCAGAGCCCAGGACCTTTTCGAGAATGTAAAAAAAAACGTAAATTTTCAAAAAAACTGCTCACTAGCGCCCCCTATTGTGTGGTAGTCACATATAGTTTCTCAGAACTTCACGAATTTTGGCACAAACATTCCTCATGGAATTGCGGACATATTTGTACATACATTCCATTAGCCCCGCCCCCCAAAAAGTTGGCCATTTTGAAATATGTGCGTTTTTTATGCATTTTAAGCACATTCTTGCGCACTCCTCCTAGGGGAATGATCGGAAAAATTCAAATCCAGCACAAGTTCAGCCCCTATCCAATATGATGCTAAATTGAGAAGAACATTTTTTATAGCTCAATCGTGGAGGTCGTAAGCTAACAGCGAATACACCATTTATTACGATTTACATGTCACAAATTACTCCAAATTACTCCAAACTACTCGCGTATACTTTTTCCAATATTCACGAAACGCTGTATACATATTGCTATTATGATTGCACACATATTTCAAATTGGACATTTTAAGGACATTTCTGCAAACTCCTCATAGGGGAATGATCGGAACAATTCCAATCCAGGACAACTTCAGCGCATTTCCAATGTCATGCTACATTGAGAAGGAATAGTCCTTCGCTCAAACGGGGAGCTCGTAGGCTAACGGAGAATGTACCATTTTTGACCAATTATATGTCAGATAAGCTACTGAGGCCTGCCTGTTTGCCTGGCACATCAACTCTCTCACACACACACACACACACACACACACACACACACACACACACACACACACACACACACACACACCTACTGTTAGTCCAACAACACCCTTTGCTGGCGGCATATTCATTACAACAGACACCTATACACTCCCTAACCCTAACCCTAACCCTACTGTTTATTTGTAGATATCTCCTAAAGTCTACAAATAAAATGTGAAATGTAGGCCTGTTACATTTATTAGTGAGCGATATATATTATACACACTGTTCTGCTTTCTGCACTGACCTCAGCAGCTGTTCTCACTGTAACATCACCTAACATCCAGGGGACATGTGATTAGTGAGAAAACAAACGGTAAAGGGCACAAAGTCTGATGCACATTTGATCATCTCAAATAACTTATAATCACAACGGGAACAGTTTGCAGAGCTGTGCTTCGTTGACAGAAGTCCAGCCATGCGTCACGCCTCTTTTAAACATCACTGTTGGCTGAAATCGTCTCAGGAGAATACTTCAGTGTACCCTCGGTTATAGCTCCTCTAGAGACACTCCTCTCTCCTCTAAATCAGTGTATCCTCGGTTACGCCTCCTCCAGACAGCCTCCTCGATAATCGATCCTCGACGAGCCTTTAGAGAAATTTGTTTTCCTTCGACATCCGTTTCCGGGTCGCTGCCGGAAGACCTGGGAGTCTGGGACGCTAAAATTATAGAAATGAGAAACGGCTCATTTCCCAGGACTCGCGCACGTCTGCTTGACGCCGGGACGACCTGCTGCCCTCCCCGACAGGCGCACGGACGCGAGGGCCCGCTCATCACTGCGCGCACAAGTGCGACCGCAGTTTTAATTATTATTGATGTTTCTATCATGACATAGTTATGCAGCAGACCCACACATTTGAATTTGCAGTTTCATTCTCAAGGTTCAGGGATCAGGTCAAAAAGTGTTAAAGAAATAACTTCTTCATCTTTGAATTGATGTAGTGTGCCTGTGTCCAACGCCGTGGACAACATCCTCACACTCAGGTCTCAGGACTCAAGCAGGATTCACGCTCTCTGTCCCTGATCCTGACGTTCCTTCAGAGCCATTATTGCTTTTCGGTACAGATCTGTCGGGAGAACGATGCGTCTTTTTAAATGTAAAGCTTTGATTTCATTCAATTTCAGACTCCAACGTGTAATTGCATTTGATTTGGAGATGGAAGATGTAAATGAGGCTCACCAAATGTTGCAGACAGGTCCACAGGTTGAGAGTAAGTTCCCGACATTTCCTCTGTGTTGATCTTGTTCTTCCTTTTCACTTTGACAACTTTCTTCTTTCTCCTTTTTTCCCCCTTAGCTATACATAAGATAAAGAAATGTTATATTCCCATTCTTAAACAGTTGAAAAGCAAAATATCTATAAGCCATTAATAACTGATTTCTACCTTTGAGTGGCTTCTCTCCATTGTTGTTTGATTCTGGCACGTCCAGAGCATCTTCTTTCACCTTTGTTTTGCGTTTCGGTTTGGTTTTCTTCGGGGGAATAAGGGCACTGCTTGCTTTCTCTGTGTGACTAGAGTTTTCATGTTCTCCATTACCGTCACCCTCTTCTTCCTCCTGTTCATTTGCTTTGGCTTGATCTTTTTCACCTTCCTTGACCTTAACCGGCTTCTTCTTCCTCAGCTTTTTTTTCAGAGTGTTCTCCTGTAAAGAATTTAAAAAATGGTGAGTTTAATTTGAACTGTACTGTCAATGTATGATTAGTTGTGGGAGTGTAAATATTATTTTTGAACATTGTTAAGGTAAAATGTATATATGTACATATTACATACGTATAAAGTCAAGCAAGATACTGACCTTTTGCAGCATGTCTCGTATGGGTTGAAGCTTTCCTTCACCCTTTGTCTTTTTAGCCTTTTCTTTTGGCCGATGAAACTGGCGAAGATCTGACTTACTGGAACGCATCCTGAGGTAGGAAAACATTTTTCATAAAAGATAGTCAGAATGAATAATAGATTATGGGTTAGGTTGACATTGATCTGTACAATATTCATAATGTTGAACATCTCTTACCGTTCCCCCTTAGTTTTTTTGCGAACTTTCCCTGTTTTCCAGGTCTTTTTCCTCTCTCCTGGTTCCAGAGGTCTCTTGCTGTCCTGTGCTACACGACTGCACAGCTCAGGGTAATCCAGAGCTATGGCCCGCAGCAACCAGCGAAGGCCTCGTAGAGTCTTTCCCTCCGACCAGCGTCGCAGATCAGTTAAGGCTGAACAAGGCTCCTGTGAAGGAAAGAAAAAAAGGTTGGTCTGTTACAATTCCTACAAGAAATGTATGTTTCTAATGATTAATTCTCACACTTTTAATACTTACAATATGGCACAGAGAACGGCTCTGGTTGACCAATTTCTCCAATGAGAGACTCTCAATCAGCTCACTTCCCAGTAAAGCATTCATTTTGTCCTGTTTGTTAGCCAACCTAAGAAGAAAAGGTTTCAGCACAGGCCTAAGTTACGTTTAGCTTCACAGTTATCCAGTCATTAGTTATTTCAGTGTTCCCCCAATCCGCCACTAGAGGGCTCTAGTTTTACTCTACTTTGCACATGATGTTTGATCACACATATAATGCATGTAAGAAGTTGAGTATAATTACACTAATACGGGTTTTCCTGCCACTCTGGGTTGCTTCAGCAGCTCTGCCAGAACCTCCTTGACCTCCTTTATCCTCTGCCTGTCACAGGAGTCCACCACGAAGATGATCCCATGGGCCTCTCCACTGAGCTCCATCCAGGCTCCTCTGGTCTCGGCCGACCCCCCCACATCCAGCAAGGTGACCATGTAGTTCTCCACTCTCAGCTCATTTTTCACACAGCCATGAGTGGGTCCTGTTTCTACAGTATGGGGCACTGAAAGGACAGGAAGTAAAACATAGGTAGATCTTCAGTCCATTTTCAGATTTGGGAACTTTTAGTTTATTCAGTATTCAATGTACTCTTGAATTACCTTTTAACATTCCTTTAATGGAGGCTGTTTTTCCTGCCTTGTCAAGACCAACCACCAAAATGGTAACTTTCCTACAAAGAAGTGCTTTTGTAAATGACACGTGTCATCAAGATACAATAATATATTGACTCTTTTGGACACAAATACGATATCACAAATACTGTCAGGACAAGAAGTTTTGATTTCATTTAATTCAAGTGCTGCTTTCAACATGAGGGGATATCATGAGACCTCAATCTAAATACTATACGAAAATGTCAAAAGAAAGAAGATTGTTTCTGTTTTTTTGTACAGAATGCATTTATTTGTATTTAAGGTCAAAGGAGATTCAACCAAACTGATTACATTTGTGTTCTCTTGAATTTGAAAGATAGGCCATGCTATCCCATCCATCACAGGTCACATTTTCAGATACTCATCATACATTTGATTTCACTCTGTCATTTTACAAGAAATGTCGTTTTTGTTACCTGATTGGCTCCTGTATTTTGGAGAACCAGGCGCAGCAGTTGGTCATGAGGTTGAACATGTTTGCTTGAGGTGAGCACAGCGGCCACCATCTTCTCTGGAACCCGTACCTATGAACAGATGGTCAACCTTAGTATAATCAGGTCTCGCACAAATATCCTCTCCTGTGAATTCAAGATACAGTCAGCAAATGTTCGGACTGCCTCATATCTCAACCTACACATCAACAAAATCAAAAGTCTAAAATTAGCTGTATTCGTATTTCTTAGCTGTGTTTCATTAAAACATGTTGTGCTTTACGTATTTTCTGCAGTGTGGTTTACCATGTGTCAGGAATTATACGTGGTCCTCTCATCTTGTAAAACAAATTCAGCAGGTGTGTCTAAGGAAGTCAGACCATGTGCTAAAAAACTTTGTGCAGTGCATCTGTTGAGGCTGTGTAATAATAACGGCCTGCTTTTACAGTGTTGGTAACAAGCTGGCATATTTGTTTTGGCTGTTACAGACGATGTATATTATGATGGTATCTTAATTTTAGTGATATCAGCGAGTGTAAATAAAAGGAGAAACTGGGATATTAGCCCAACAATAAACAGTAAAGTGCCATAAATAAGCAGTCCTATTAGCCATGAGAAACCTGATGTTGAAACAACAATAAACCTACAGCAGACCTATACCACTCGTGGAAAACTCTTTGTTGTCTCTGTTAAATCAGAGTTCATATATCTGTAAAAGCCCAATGCATAACAGTGCTCTGGTTTGAATTCACACAGACAATAAATTAAAAGTCAACATGGGTTGTAAATGCTGAGAATTATTGGATTAAAACAAGCATTTAAAACTCAGTGGACACTAAACTACAACTACCCGACACCACTGAACGACTTAATCACACGTATAACATACCAAATGAACTAAGATGTGAGAATATTGAAGGATACTCACAGAAGTAAGTCTATGTCCATGCATTTGTTTGGATTCTCTTTTCTAACAACAACTTGTACCTACAGTAGGAGCTATATAACTAATCAGGCTCACAGTAAGCCTTTAGTCACCTCATGTGGGAGGTACAGCCTTGGAGTTGTGTTTTGGTATTTCAACCAATCCCAAAGCCCTCTGATCCAATCACTAATCCCATTGGATGGCAGAGTGCTTCTTTAGTTAGACCAAACAAAGATGCATTTATCCGTCAGGAAAATCTAAATGTGTCTTGTGGTGTGATCTGTGACGTGCTGTGATCTCCTAAAAGTGGAACAATGCTGGTCAGATTTAAGCTGCACCACTTTAGTCACTGTTAGGGATAATGACATCATGTCTATGGTGATGGTGGAGTCGCATCACGGTGTACGTGAGGCAGGTTTACTTGTATATTTGGAACTATCGCTTTTCTTTCTATTTTTTTCTAGCGAGGTATATCTTGATCGCTTGAGATGTGGCGTGTTGATCATTCTACAGATAATGTTATCTTATATGTTCCTTCAAAAGGGTTTACAACATTTGTAAGGTTTTATACGTTCAGACAATAACATGCAACAAACACAAGCAGATCAAAATAAACTGAACTGCATAATCCTGCATATTCAGTCCATTATACTTCTTAAAATATCCTAAAAATGACTTCCTGCCTACTGCCTAGTGTCTTTCAAAGCTGTCGTACTGTATAAGAGTCATTTGCTTATCATGTGCTTTCCAGTTTCTTTTTAAGTATTTGATACTTTAATTATCAATACCCATGTTTCCCCCATTACCCTCACTTATTCTATTCCTATGGTCCGTTTATAACATTAGGCCATGGACAACTGATGAAAATGACCATTTTAGGATTGGGTTAAATGTACAGATGTTTTCCTATTGATCAATTAAATGTTTTCCTGTCAGATCAAGTTAAAAGACAAAAATATATAAAATGTTATGAAGTGTGGCAAGTAAAGAGAAAAAAAAGACAATTATAGTTCAGGTTAAAAATTACTTTACAAGGAAAATGTACTTAATGTAACTTAATCACTTGTTAATTGTAAACATTAATGTTCAGGTACAACAGTACACTTACGTTAACAGAGGATCAACGTACAATGGTATTAATGCAAGCATAAGCAAGTGCATTCTGTAATGCAGCATGCACCACTAGATGGCCTCCCATTCACAGGATATATCTTCACTGCAAGAGGCTGCTGTGCACCTTGTAGTCTCTGTAAATAATATAAATGCTCTATTTTCAAATCCTTGACAAGCTGAGATGAATTGCTGCAGCTGAATGACAGTCTGCTCCAAACTGAAAACAAACATTCATAGTTTAGATGTGCAGCCTCTTCACAAACCAATCCTCCCTCATTGGATGTTTTCCTTCTTCACGTCTAATGAGGGAAATCAAAACAAAATGGTGAGTAGACTACAGAGTAGAGCTTCTGTAGATATAATGAAATTATAAATGGTTATTTGGAGCTCTCAGAAACCTGTCACAATGGTTTCTGTGCAGGCCTTATCTCATTATGTCATTATACCAACGTCCAATCAGGCTCTGCCTCCGCTGCTGAGTAGACTCATCCCAGACTCTCACCAGAGCCCTGCGTCAGCTGATACACACACACACACACACACACACACACACCACACACACACACACACACACACACACACACACACACACACACACACACACACACACACACACACACACACACACACACACACACACACAGCAAAAAAGCAGCAGCTGAAGACCACACCCCCATACGGCTCCTGTTCACCACATTGCAAACATGTTTAAAAAACCACCAACTGCTGATATTGCAATATCGGTTAAAGCTTCTACTTTAATACTCTTTTTTATCACAGAAATATGCAAGCCAACACCACTGGGGCGGTCATTAACATGTAATACTTGATTAATGTAATTTGTACAACATATTGTGTGAAAAGCATGTTGTGGTTTTACAGATGTGTATGTACTCGACAACCAGGCAGCTGATGTAGAAGCCTGGTTCATAACCGCTGTGAAATTGAGAATCATATTTTAAATAGTTATACTTACACTTTCGTACAGATTAAACATACAAGATACAACCTGTTGTATAGTGTTCTTTACAGGGGCTGGCAGGTGCATTTTGCTACATTTTGACACACAGGGTGGTATATTGTCATCTAACTTTCGGCATGAAAATACAGTTATATTTCCTAATGTTGAACTATATTTGTTGAGGCCATAAGGAATTGTAGGAAAGCATTTATCTCCTTTGTTTTTAAGGATTGTCTGGTGCACCCTATACTAAATTAGATAACAAACCGTAGTACTTTTTTCTTATCATCTAGAGCAGTGCTTCTCAAACTTTTTTCAGTAATGTACCCCCTTTGAAACATTTTCTCAGCCAAGTACCCCCTGACCGATCCCGAACATTTGTGATCGAAAAAGCCTATATAAATAATTACAATATAGTGATGTTCCCTCAGTGTGTGATGTATTAACTCCTTCGTGGTATGCATTACAACAAACTAAGGATATTTTCATTTTATGCATGAAAAAAAACAACATAACACTTTTATAAAACAGATTTCTCCAAGGAGTTTTTCAATTTAAGTAATATGTTATTGTGAAAAACTATAAAATACAATACACACATTTGACATGTTTATATGAGGACCCCCTTGGTGGTTCTAGGAATGTTTTATATAAAATGTGTGTTTTCTATTTAACTTATTTTACTAAGATTATTTTTTTAATTAACCTTTTTTTTTTTTTTTTTATCTCACGTACCCCCTGCAGTACCCCAACGTACCCCCAGGGGTCCGCGTACCCCCATTTGAGAATCACTGATCTAGAGATTTCAACCAGCTGTTACCATGGCTTTTCAGGTCATTTCACTCTTTTAGGAATCTTCCTATGCGAAAATACTATTTGACTGCAGCTGAAGATTCCTGTAAAGAATTTGAAACATAGACAAGCTGACCTGACCTGATTGGCTGACTGTGCACATGCTGGTGCTCAGTAATGTCTCAACAGCACACAGCCTCAGCAGTCTGAAGTCACTGACCCAAAGCACTGCTTCACCAAACACATGCATTAGTAATGCCTTCGTAGGTTGTGTCGACCACTGACTTAGATGAGATCTGGTTAGACAGGGAGAGATCAGCATGAATGGAATGAGCTGTATTTAAACTGTACCACAGGGACAGCAACATGACATCTACCAAACAGGAAGTAAGAGTGATTATTCAGTAAAAAAACAACACAATAAGGGTTTACTTTAGGTCATGATGACATCAAGCTAAGCAACACATGATATTTTTGCAATGGGAATGTGGGGGTTTAACTACATTTGGTGTCCTTCTCATGCACTTTCCAAACAAATAATCCTTGTTTGAATAAGTAGTAGAACAAACATGAAACGGATTACGTTCAGGGTCACAAAATGTTATTGTTGTCTAATGAGCATGTGGCCTTATCTGATTGTAATATAATGAGGAAATGTCTGTGTGAAAAGCGAATGAAACGATGGAATGATGTATGTGTGTGTGTGTGTGTGTGTGTGTGTGTGTGTGTGTGTGTGTGTGTGTGTGTGTGTGTGTGTGTGTGTGTGTGTGTGTGTGTGTGTGTGTGTGTGTGTGTGTGTGTGTGTTCTGCACCTGTTTGTGTAGCTGCTTCCCCTCACAGGCTTGCACGTCACCATAACAAGGCCAAGTCCTCACTACTTTTGGAAACTAAAAATGGAAGCGCGGAGAATCTGATCTCTCATTACTCGCCCTTCACAGTCTAGCTTCCTTTTGAAAAGGACAAGTACTGTAATAAAACTACAGTGCATGTGCTTACAGTATCGGTGGCATTTAGCTTGGCAAAGGTCCTCTAGAGAAAGTGAAATGTCAAACAAGTTGTTGTGTTTCCCTCAATTCAAATGAAATCGTTCTTATCTTTGTAGGCAGCTTTGTTACCCTGTAATATATACTTGTATAGGCTGCATTTACTATTATTTATTTAACAGTTTGTTCATTGCTTGTAATATGTAAGATTGTAACAGACATCCTATACTTTTTTCATTATCATGTGAGCTTTTCACCTCCCATTTTTCTTACTTATGGTGTGATTCAAGCAAAACACCCAGGGTTATGAAATTGACAATTAACAATAAATAAAACTCTAAATACAAATCATATATTTTTTTAAAGAAATATTATACCAGAATCATTTCAGAGTACAATTATTTTAATAAAACATTGTAATTGAGTTTGAGGGGAAAAAGAGAAAACATCTTGAATACATGTACGGAATGTGGTTCTAAACACCTTTCTAAAGTAGTTAGCGAGATCATATCACAAAAATGAAGCTGTTTCCTCATAGTTACCAAACTATTTGTGCCAGCCTCTTAATAATGGATTTGTTTTCCTTGTCACAGAATTGTATTTTTGATGAGTTGTATGTTATTATCTGTACTCTCTTTTATTTTGAAGGCAGCCGCCCGTAATTTCCGGTATCGCCCCCAGTTTCTGGCTGACTTAACGCAGTTGTTGCATTGACAGACAGTCAAAAGATTGGAAACACGAGTAGCAGCCAGCAGACGCACAAATACACCGACACGGAGACACTCGGCCCTCCTACAGCCCGGCATTCACACTATAGCTGGAGGTGTTTTTAACATACAATAACAAACTTTAAGCTACTGACGTCCAGCGAGTTTGGACGGTAACCGGCTGGCTGACATTTAGTAGATATCGTCCTGGATGACGAGGCTGAACTGAACTTTCCCTATTCTGCACACACGGTGCAACAACAGCGCTGAAATCCCGACGGGCAGTACAGTGGTTTCCTCTGGATCTAACGGGGTGGTAACTCCACGTCCGACGATATAACGATACCATTAAATAAACGCTTTTGGTGGGAGTGCATCGGAGCGGTGGCACAGCAGTTGTTGAGTAACACACAATGTGAACCCAGCGATGCTCAACTTTGTGGAAAGTTGGGAGAGACGGCGCATCAAGGGAATTATTTACAAATAGTGATGTTTTTTAGCATAGTTTAGCGTCTTAATCGTGAACCGTATACTGATCAAAGTGGATAACATAATGTGCGAAGTGGCCATGGAGGAGCATGAGAGTGAGATCTCCGACATGGAGAGCTCCACGGTGGCGCACAGTGAAGTCATGCTGGTGGTCAATCACAGCCGGATCAAGCCCCCCTTCAGCGTGCTGCTGGCCACCGTGCTGTACTGTGCGGAGTTCATCACGGCCGCCGTGCTCTGCAGCCGGTATCACAAGACCGAGGACGTGATCTGGATGGGCTTCACACTCACCTTCATGCTGCTGCCCGCCGTGCTCATCCAACTGGCCCTGACGTTCATCCACAGAGACCTGGGCCGGGACAGGCCGCTCGTGCTGTTCCTGCACCTGCTGCTGCTCGGCCCTGTTATCAGGTAGGGAGGGGTGATGGGATGTTGTTGGTATGTTGAAATGTTTATATATTGTTGAATGTAAGAAAACAATCCCTTGATATAATCAGAAGTACTCAGATCTTGTACAAAATAGTACAAAGTAGAAATACCACAGTGTAGGACTACTGTTGCAAGTAAAAGTCCTGCATTAAAAATGTTACTCAAGTTAAAGTACAGAAATATTAGCATCAGAATATACTTTAAGTACCGAAAGTAAAAGTACTCATTATGCAGATTGGCCTATTTTGTAAGAATATATATCATGTGTTTTTAATTCTAATTATTGATGCATTAATGTGTTTACCACAGCTGGTAAAGGTGGAGCTAAATTAAATCCCTTTGTATAATGCAAGATAGCTGGTGGATTTACTCCGTGTTATTTAGATGTTGATATTTCATATCAATAAAATCCAAATCTGGAAAGTAAAAGGTATACAATAAATAAAAGTACAATATTTACCTCTGAATTGTAGTGGTGTAGAAGTTGCAGTAGCAAAACATTGAAATACTTAAGTAAAGTACAAGTATCTCAAAAGTGTACTCAAGTACAGTACTTGAGTAAATATAAGTAGATTCTTCACACCACTGGGTAGGTGAGGGTCATGGGGTGTTAGGGGTATGTCAAAGTCACTACAAATCATGATACTCTGTATTAGTGCTGTGACTTTGTAGTGTTTACAGATATACAGATTTTTCCATTTGCAGTGAAGTACACTTAATGGGATACACATTTAAATCTCTATTGAGTGCACAAGAGCACTCTAATGATCTTTGAGGGGTGACATGATGCTGCCATAATGTGTCACTATGAATCAGAGTTGTCCTCATAAATAAAGGATGCTGACTAGAACTGAAATGATTGATCTATTACCAGTGACAGAAAAATTATCTGAAACTTTCTTCAAAATGAATTAATAGTTTGTCATTATTCAAGATATACCAGTAACAGCAAAGTAGTCTCATGCCTCTAAATTGACTTTAATACTTTTTCTTTGTCATATATTATTGTCAACAATATTTTTGGGTTCTAAACAATTGGTTGAACAAAACAAGCCATTTAAAG